ACCACTGTGAGAACTTTGATTTGTTTGGCTGTAAAAAAAGGTTGGAGTTTATACCGGTTGGATGTGAATAATGCCTTCCTTCATGGTGATTTGCATGAAGAAGTATATATGACATTACCAGAGGGTCTTATGGTGGACAACAACAACTTAGTTTGCAAACTCAAGAAGTCTCTATATGGTTTAAAACAGGCCAGTAGACAGTGGTATGACAAACTGGCCAACAGTCTATGTTCAAAGGTTATACTCATTCAAACAGTGACTACTCACTTTTCTATAAGAGAAAGGGATGCTCTATAGTTTTTGTTGCAATATATGTGGATGATGTGATCTTGACAGGTACAGACTTAGAGGAAATCATCTCTTTGAAGAGTTTCTTGCATGATCAATTCAAAATAAAAGACCTTGGCAAGTTACACTACTTCTTAGGACTAGAAATACTATATAGGGATGATGGTGTTCTTCTTTCCCAGAGAAAATTTACTACTGATCTTCTGAAGGAGTTTGATATAATGAACTACAGAGTTGCAACATCACCACTTGATTCTACTGAAAAACTTAAAGCCACGGATGGGGAGTTGTTATCAGATCCCACTCATTATAGAAAGCTAGTTGGGAAACTTAATTTCCTCACAAATACAAGGATGGATATAGCTTTTAGTGTTCAACATCTTAGCCAGTTTATGCAATCTCCTAGAGAACCACACATGAAGGCTACTTATCATGTCCTTAGATATCTGATGCAAGATCCTACTTTGGGAATTTTCATCTCAAATAAACCTGATCTTATTGTTACTGCTTACTGTGATTCAGATTGGGCAGCTTGTTCTGATTCAAAGAGGTCAGTTAGTGGGTATTTGGTTCTTATGGGAGACAGTCCTGTCAGTTGGAAGTCCAAGAAGCCAGCTACAGTGTCACTATCATCTGCAGAAGCAGAATACAGGGTTGTGAGACAAGTAGTAGGAGAACTAGTTTGGCTTGAGAGATTACTTGATGAACTAGTGGTGCAAAGTTCATTACCCATACGTGTGTTTTGTGACAGCCAAGCTGCAGTTCATATTGCTAAAAATCTAATTTTCCATGAGAGAACAAAGCATATTGAAGTGGATTGTCATTTTGTGAGGGATAAGCTTCAACAAGGACTGATTGCACTTCATCATATTTCCACAAACTCACAATTAGCAGACATATTTACCAAGGCCTTAACTGGAGTCAAGCACTCTACCATTCTAAGCAAGTTGTCTGTAATCACACTACCTTCAACTTGAGGGGGGGTGATAGAATTAGTTAAGACTTAGAGTTAGTTACTTAAAGTTAGTTAGGAGTCTGTTAAACACTGTTGAAGTAGTTAATTACAATTAGTTGGTTAGTTGGTTATTCTCATGTTTTTATTCATGTATATATACACAACTGTTGTATTCATTATTCATTCATTGAGAAAGGAATAATACAGATCCTCTCTTCATTCTAGAATGATTCATTGTATCCTCTGTTCTTCTTTCTCTTTGAGCTTAATCTTCATTAATGGAGGAAGCTTACTGGTTTAATACTTCAATCAATAATTCTGTCATGTTACAACATCAAATACAAAATTGTTAGTTTCTCCGTCTCAATTTGTGTGATATTTTTCATTTCTTGAAATTTAAATTATATAAAATTTAATTAATATTTTAAAAATTACAACTTAGAATACTTTTTGTATAATTTTCGAATATATGTATTTTTTATTTTATAATATTGAGTTAATTTGATCCAACTTAACTTCGTAAAATTAATCGAATTGACTCTCGATTAGCCAAGACTGTCACATAATTTGGGATGTATGACATTACATGTCTCCCTTAAAACTCAAGGTGTTAAATACATCATGTACAAAAAAATTCATATAAGGGATATAAATGTTTGATATATATGTAGCTAAATTATATTATGCAAGTGTTTTAGTTATTTCCCCGACTACATAATTGGGTTTTAGTGTTCTCTTTTGCATGTTCTATTCATTATATATATATATATATATATATATATATATATATATA